ATGCATTAATGTTTGAATTATAATCATCGGCGAACTTTTGGATCACTACGGCTACTTCGATCACATCTTAACACCTTTCTGATACACATAAATTACTCAACTGATACAAACATTGCGAATCTTCGAGGATGGTTAAATGGATGTATGTCGAATAGGATCTTTTCGCCAAACAATCCTATGACTCTCTTGCCTTCTGCCAGCGTAATCTGTTGCGTTTTTGGGGCAAGTATTAGTTTTATCTCACATTTTCATAACTTCTACGACCATCCTCCTTTAAGGTTTTGAGCAGCATTTTGCCATGGCGAAGTCAGTGAACGACCTCACGAAGCCGTGAAGCGGTGTTATTCAATCACATAGGAAACTTCCGAAAATCTTCTGGCTACAGATAGCTTCACGGATGACGGCGAGCTGCAAATTTACAACCAGGGTAAGCACTGTAATTTTACAGAAACGAGTTGGTTTTTATTTTTGCTGTATATGGTCAACAGAAGTATGCACTTCTGTAATCTTATTATGATTTCTTGATCTTAACTATTGTAAACCTATTTGCATCACTCTGTTGATGTCTTAGGTTTTTTGCACATTCATAACAGTGTTCGTCATATGTGCCGCACGCGAAGACTGTGTTCTCAGACCAATTTCTTATCAAAATTTGCTTGTTCTGATTTAGTTTGTCTACGAGGAAAAGGATATTTCCGTTTGCCAAGTATTATATGGATTTTGACACCTGTGAGACGGAAGGCTTAATGTCAACCAGCAAACGCACGCTGCGTTCCACTGTTTTCGAAAGAATTAGCTAGAGGGTGGCTTTCGCATTACCGTGTACAAATCAAGTCCCAAGTAGAGCGAATCATCTATTTTGAAACATTTCAGACTCGCGCTACTAAGATCAAAAAAGAAGCGATACGATTGAACAGAAACAGCTTTCCAACTCAAGCACGAAACGAAGACGTAAAACTTTTCGGATAAGCTCGTGCTTGGCACAAATAAATAAAACAAAAAAAAACAATATTACTTATTACTCGTATTCTTTCAAAAAGCTAAATCGAATTTAAACGCTCTATTTAGATAAAAACCTTGAACACTGTAGCAAAGAGATCACAGAGAATTTCTTCCACCTCAATTTCTGTTCCTTCTCGTCAAAACCCCTGGGCTTCCCTCAACAGAGGGGACAACTGGTGATGAAGTCCTTCTGCGTTTTATATCCTTGGAAGACTCGTCGGAAACCTAAAGAAATATGACGTACATTCCATATGAGAACACAATAGAAAGCCTTTAAAACTGTGAACGCATTGAAGTGGCAACGATAATTAGGTTTACAGTATATCGAAATACTCCTGTTCTTGTTGTAAAATTTTGGTAGGCTATAGAGCGCTATGAATAAAAGATGTTATCTGGACGTTATGAATTATAAGACTTTTATCAAAAGCTTAAAGTGTATAAATTACGTACAGAATCTGGTC